ATCTTCGTTGCTCTTCTCTGCACTTTTTCCAAAGTCTCACCATGTTTTTCATAATGTGATGACCAAAACTGGATGCAGTATCCCAGTTTTGCAGTGTGGTCTTACTAAGGTTTTATAAAGCAGTACTAATACTTCACATAATCTTGACTCTATCCCTCTGTTTATGCAACCAAGAATTGTATTAGCTTTGTTTGGCGGCTGCTACATACTGCTGGGTCATATTTAAATGATTGTCCACTAGGACTTCAAGATCCCTCTCACAATTACTACTTTCAATCAGTACTTGTACAGGTGTAAAGGTGTAAAACCTTTTCTCTACAGTAAATTTCATTTTGTTAGATAGGGCCCAGTGTTCAAGTCTGTCAAGATCCATTTGGATCCTGAGCCTGTCATCTGGGGTGTTGGCTATTCCTGCCAGTTTAATGTCACCTACAAAATTTGATGAGTTTACCTTCTGTTCCCTCATCTAAGTTGTCTATGAAGATATTGAAGAGTACCGGATCTAAGATGGCTGAGTACTTTTCAATATCTAAATATTAATCAATATTTGGAATATTTAATATTAATATTTAAATTTTTAAATAATGTTAATAAGAACTTACTATTAAGAATATTAAATTCTTAATATTAATCCATATTAAGAATTTAATATTAGCTATCAGTTTACGGAGGTACAAATGGACGTGTACATTCCAAAGTGGTTCTAAGTTGCTTGTCCTGCACAGGGGAAATGGTGATAATACAGATAGAAATATACTTAGAACAAATTCCTGAACAGATTGTACATGAGGCTTAGTTTAAAAAGGGAGGGGAAAACATACACAAATACGTTCACATTTTGCCAAGTAAAATACAATTGTGCAAACTTTGCAAAATAAACATATATGTCTCTATTTAACCTACCTTTGATTAAACATCTAAACTCACAATCTCTGAAGTACTAGCCTGGTGCTTTTAACCACTATGCCAAAGTAGTTTACGGGCCCCAAAACAGTTTGTATAAGCACATACAAGGGATATTGCTGGAGGAGTGATTCAGTAGTGGGATTCATTTTTTTAAAACTTCCGGTTCTGTGGGCGTGGCTTAGTGGGCATGGTATGGCTTGGTGGGCGTGGCTTGGTGGGCATGGCAGGGGAAGGATACTGTAAAATCTCCATTTCCTCCAGATCCTCCATTTCCTCCAGATCAGCTGGGACTCGGGAGGCAGAGAATAGCGGGGTCAGTCAGAGGTGGTGTTTATCGGTTCTCTGAACTACTCAAAATTTCTGCTACCGGTTCTCCAGAACTCGTCAGAACCTGCTAAATACTACCTCTGGAGTGATTCTGAGGAAAAGCAGAGCAGGGGTGATGGTGGCTACCATATCTACTACCCAGTGTCTTCTACTTGGGACAGTCACATCCCATGGCTTAGATACCCTAATCTTGAGATGAGACCTCCATGACTGGAATGGATTTCATTGGGGCTTGCTTTTCTACTCTCTCTGCTCTGCTTTTTCCAGTTACCTAGTCAGAGCCGAGGTGGCGCAGTGGTTAGAGTACAGCACTGCAGGCTACTTCAGCTGACTGCAGTTCTGCAGTTCAGCTGTTCAAATCTCACCGGCTCAAGGTTGACTCAGCCTTCCATCCTTCCGAGGTGGGTAAAATGAGGACCCGTATTGTTGGGGGCAATATGCTGACTCTGTAAACCGCTTAGAGAGGGCTGAAAGCCCTATGAAGCGGTATATAAATCTAACTGCTATTGCTATAGTTGTTTGTCGTCTTCTCTTTCTTGAGGAGGCTGTGGTGATATTTATTTATTGAATACCTTGCCTATCATGAAGAAATGAAAACAGTGCATGTACTGCTCCCTCTTCCCATTTCCCCCCACTATAACAACCCTGTAAAGTCACTTGGCAGAAAGAGAACCCAGCTGGTCAAAAGTTCGCACTGAGATTTCCTAGTCCAACTTCTCAACCACGATTAGGCCATACAGTTAATCCACTGCCTGTTCCAATTATGATCTTATATCCTGATCTTCCAGCCTAGCTTCAGAAGATGCCCTTTGCTCTTTATTTATGTATACTTTGTTCTTTCTTTATTATTCACATGCATGTAGTTGCCCATCTCATATGTATGACTCGGGGGGGGGGGGTTTACACATAATTAAGGCCAACATAAAAACAATAATGGTGAACAATACAAAAAGAACAATTTAAAGAACAGGAAAAGCAAGAGGAAGGAAACAACAAGGTAGAAAACATATAAATATAATATTAAAACCATCATAAAGATTAATAAGATTCACAGTTGACATAATCACATGTAACAGTTAACATTCTACCTCTCTGCTGACTATGCCATATTCCCTGGTGTCCTTGACCTTTGGCCAAAAACATGCTTTCGGTCTTTTGAAAGGCCAGAGTTTATTCGGGGTGGGTTTTCTTCATAGGACTCGCTGAAGACTGGCCCCTTGTTCCAACTAAGACAAAGGAGTATTGTCTTGGAGATTCTCCCTCCACCCCCTGAAAATAAGGGTTCCAATGGCGTAAGAACTTTGAGAAAGATTCCCTAGCATCAGAATATGTAGAAGGCTTAGTGTCTCCCTTTAAACAGTTTTGGTAAAAGAGACCCAGCTGATGAGGGCATAGCTCTCTGCCTCCAGGGCCATCAGCTTTCTTGCAATGAAAACCAGTTCATTCGCTAGGCCAGTGATGGCTAGCATTTTTTTGTCGTTGTGTGCTGAAAGCGCGCACATGTGTGTGACAACGCACAAGTGTGCTCGCAGCCATAATGCAATGTAGGACACACACATCATGTGCCCCTCGCCACTGTGCATGCATGCAAGAACCCCCACCCTGGTGCATGTGCGCAACCCCCACACACACCACATTTTTGGCCTAGCAGGCCTCCCTGCAGCCTCCTGGGACCAAAAACAAGTATACTTCCCATGCCCCTCCTTTCCCACACATGTGCACACATCTCCTGCACGCGCCCCACCCCCACACATTCCCAGCACAGACGCAAAAATCAGCTGGCCAGCGGGAGGCACGCACGCATGTGCGGTGGAACTGAACTGGGGCGACGGCTTGTGTGCCTGCAGAGAGGGCTCTGCATGCCACCTCTGGCACCTGTGCCATGGGTTCGCCATCATGGCTCTAGGCTAAGAAAGGGCATCAACAGGGGGTTGAGAGGGACTTCAATCATGGGGGTGAGCAGGCACAGTTTTTGAGCCCAGGAGGAAATGTTAGAACCAACTGTTTGCCCATCCCCTGAATAATATTTTGGGAATCAGCCTTTGATCCCACTTCCAGCTCACATAACTACCTTCCTTTGATATTTGAGATGTAGTTTATGGGGGCTTCAGAGTAACCCAAATCTCAGATCTAGCTTGTCTGAGCAAACAGTGGGCTGGGCATTTCTGACTGTCTTTGAAAGAGATTAATACAATGCAATACAATAGCAGAGTTGGAAGGGATATTGATTACGTAGTTTCCACCCATTGCTTCTTGTTCTACCCTCAGGTGCCTTGGAAAATAGTTTGACTGCCTCTTCTTTGTGGCAACCCCAGAGATATTGGAACACTGCTATCATGTCTCCCCTAGTCCTTCTTTTCATTAAATTAGACACATCCAGTTCCTGCAACTATTCTTCATATGTTTTAGTCTCCAGTCCCCTAATCATCTTTGTTGCTCTTCTCTGCACAAAGATCAACTTAAGGCTGCCACTTTCCAAAGCAGGAGAAGCAGCTCTGGTGTTTGCCCTTGTCGTCTTCCTAGGCTGAGAGTGATTGGTTCAAGGTTAACCACCTGGCTTAGCATCCAAGGCAGGACTAAACTCATGACCTCCCAGTTTCCAACTAGTTTCTAGTATGATGGATAGCACTAGTTAGGACTTGCCTTTAATTTGTCTCCACAGCCCTACTTGTGTCGACGCATTAAGAATTAGGCAGTTAACTCTGTAAATCTTCAGCACCAGAGGGATTAAAGAGCAAATATTTTAATCCAATTAGGAAGAAATGGAATTGGATTTTAATTACTACATCTGCCTTCCGCCCTGCTAACTACAAAATAGTTTGATGCCATGAGATCTCTCACCCAACCTTTTCTCCCGATTACAGGCTTGGTTGGTAGAGCAGCAAACAGCACAGATATACTCAGTGATCGATACTGATGCAGAAATAGACAGAAATAGAGATAGAAATGGCAGTCACAGCCCCTTCACTGTGAGATTTTTCTATCTAGATTTTTAAAAAACCCAGTTATGCTAAGGCAATCTAAAGGAAATGAAACCTTTTGCAAGCAAAAGGTTGGAGACAATGATGTGGAAGTGATTGTTGTGGACTTTTTGTCCAGCAGATCAAACCAGGTAAGATATCTCTTCTTTGAAGGAGAAAACACATTGATCTGTGTCTTCTTAGATTAGGAAATTGCATCCTCAGACGTATTATTTATGGTTAGCTAGCTGGAATTGTAATCTCAACACATCCAAAGTGCACCAGGTTGAGGAAAGTTGGGGGATTAGACTGCAGTCTTCTACAGTCCATAGAACTATAGTCTCTGGTCCAAGATAGATATTTTTTGTTGGCATTTGGTTCTTTCTAAGAGTTGGCCACTGAGGTCCAAGAAGAACCTGTGGATATCCCCAGCCTGTAGAGGTGTTAAAACAGAACAAATGTGATGACCTAATCATAACTTGAAGCTTTCAAGAAGGGATTGGACTGCCATCTGTCAGAAATGGTGTAGGGTCTCCTGCTTGGGCGGGGGGTGGGTGGGGTTGGACTAGATGACCTACAAAGTCCCTTCCAAATCTGTTATTCTGTTAAATTTATTTTATAGATTTTGGAACAGTCCATACATCTCCACATTAGATGTGTCTGTACTTCCCACCCAATTTGCTTGATGCCATTGGTGATTGGAATAAAATGAAGATAGGATTCCACAGCTGACCTTGGGATGTAACAATAATGTTGGCAGTCAGCAGAGGCTTCTTCAACTTAATTTTGCTTTTTCCCCCTCTGCAGGCTATGTGACGCATCCTCACTTGCGGTTTTCATCCCTGGCATGGGTGTATTAGGCTCCAAGACTTCCTTTTTGGCTTTCCTCCTAGGCCTCATTTTTGGCTTTTTTAGCATCTTCTACATTTTGCAAAACCTGTCATGGGAGGGATCCCTGCGTCTTGGCCACCAGATGCCGCATGGCTCCAAGGATCTAGAAAGCGTGTTGGCTAAACCGGGTCTTGTCAGTTCTGCACGCTTACGCAAAGCAGGTAAGAACAGAAGAGGTCCTACAGAATCTTTTCTCCCATCCTGCTGTCCTCAGCACTGCCATAGCAGTCATAAGGGCTAGGAAATAGAGGTTGAATAGAATAGATAAACAATATAAATAAACAGTTCTTTATTGGCCAAGTATGATTGGACACGAGAGGTGTGTCTGGTGCATATGCTCCCAGTGTACATGAAAAGAAAAGATACATTTGTCACAAATCATAAGGTACAACACTGAATGATAGTCATAGGGTACAAATAAATAATCAAATCATACTAGGAAACAATCGATATAAATCATAAGGATACAAGCAACAAAGTTACAGTCGTGCAGTCATAAGTGGGAGAAGATAGGTGATAGGAACAATGAGAAGATTAATAGTAATAGTAATGCAGACTTAGTAAATAGTTTGGTGTTGAGGGTTGAGGTTAGGTTGAGGGTTGACAGTGTTGTATTTCAAATATGAGGAGGACATCTGGTTGGGAAAGGAAAGTGCATTAGAGAGGAATAAGTATGGATATGTGCCTTTTCACTTAGGCCAATATTAAACTTTTGACTAAATAAATAATTGACAATACTTCTAAAGCATCCAATGTGTTTTTGTAGGCTTGATATATTGTAGTGTGCTGTCTTGTGCATTTATTGCTGGACAGTTTCAGATTAGTTAGTTGGGGAAGCTTTTTTGCCCTATCACACCACATTAAATATAGAGTGTGAGTCCCCAGTTTAATCTTTTGTGCAACTTTCAATGCTCGAGATGGTCCAATCAAAAGAGGCTACAGTCCAGCAGATTTTGCCGGCTGATGATCTGGACCATGTTAATGATTCATGTCTGGGAACATCATGGAATGCATTATATTTTGCTACTCAGATGCACAGCGTGTTTCTCGGTCAGCTGGTCCCTTGGCTGGAAGGAACAGTTTCACCTTGCAGCCCATGAATGTGATATCTGCAGTAAACGATATAATTGTGTGGACAGTATTGTTGTTGCGACATTTGTGGTCATGGAATCTGAGAATTCTGAAGTGGGATTTTACAGCCTGGGCTTCAGGAGCATCTGCTGATGTAACCGTTGAACATCTGCGGTCTAAGAATACGTTAAACTTGTAATCAATACCGGTAGTCCTCGCCTTGCAACCACAATTGAGCCCAAAATTTCAGTTGCTAAGTGAAACATTTGTTAAGGGATTTTTGTCCCATTTTAACGACCTTTCTTGTCATCGTTGTTGTGAATCACTGCAGTCATTAAGTTAGGGACATGGTTGTTAAGTGTGCTGGCTTCCCCATTGTCTTTGCTTGTCAGAAGTTCACAAAAGATGATTACATGATCCAGTGGTGAAATTCAATTTTTTTTACTACTAATTCTGTGGGTGTGGCTTGGTGGGCGTGGCAGGGGAAGGATACTGCAAACTCTCCATTCCCACCCCACTCTGGGGCCAGCCAGACGTGGCATTTGCCGGTTCTCCAAACTACCCAAAATTTCCACTACCGGTTCTCAGAACCTGTCAGAACCTGATGAATTTCACCCCTGACATGACCCCAGCAACACCGCAACCGTCATAAATATGAACCAGCTGTTAAGCATCTGAATTTTGATCCATGTATCCGTGGGGATGCTGCAACAAGTGTGGGGAAAAAACCCATCATGAGTTACTTTTTCCACTGCTGTTGTACCTTTGAACAGTCATTAAATGAGTTGTTGTAAGTTGAGGACTACCTGTACCTAGCATATACATATAACTCTTAGGTTCCTAAGATGACCAATGGTTGAAAAAAAGAGTAACTCTTTGGTTCCCTCTAACTCAGGTGAGGATAACAGCGTGGCAGATGAACTCTATGACAAGGTGCGGATTCTGTGCTGGGTGATGACAGGGCCCCAAAACCTGGAGAAGAAAGCCCGCCACGTCAAGGCCTCTTGGACTCGTCATTGCAATGTAGTCCTTTTCATGAGTTCACAGGAAGACAAAGACTTTCCCGCTGTAGGACTGGGTACCAAGGAAGGCAGGGACCAACTCTATTGGAAAACCATCAAGGCCTTCCATTATGTGCACACACATCATTTTGAGCAGGCCGACTGGTTCCTCAAAGCAGACGATGATACCTTTGTGGTGCTCGAAAACCTCCGGTGGCTGCTCTCCAACTACTCCTCGGACAGGCCCATCTATTTTGGGAAGCGCTTCCGGCCCTTTGCCAAGCAAGGCTATATGAGTGGGGGCGGGGGCTACGTCCTGAGCAAGGAGGCCCTGCGTCGTTTCGTTGCTGGCTTTGCCACCAAGGTCTGCAGCCACACGTCGCCAATAGAGGACCTGGCCCTGGGCCAATGCATGGAGAAGATGGGCGTGGAAGCTGGAGACTCCCGGGACACGAGAAAGAGGGAGACCTTCCATCCTTTTGTGCCCGAGCAGCACTTGACGGAGAAGGTCTCAAAAAGCTCTTGGTACTGGGCTTATTCCTATTATCCTATTGTGGAGGTAGGTGGCACACTCAGATTTCTCCTGCAAGAGTGAATCAGTTTCCTTTCGGGTTTTCTGTCAAGAAGTTTCTTCAGAGGTTTCTCCACCTCTGATGTATGTGCATGTATGTATGAATGAGTTTTCTTAAATGCTTTTGTAATATCAGAATAAGGAACTTGTGGTGCTTCAGTATCTCAAGGGCCAGCAAGGCTTTTCATGAAGGCTGATAACTAGTGAAGTTATAGGTTCCTCACTCTTATTTGTATTCGTCCTAACAGAATAGTTTCTTGTGACTTTTTTAAAAAAAACAAATAGAATCAAGAGCCTGCCAGGCCTCCCAGCAGGGCCCCATCCTACTTCAGATTGCAGAAATATCAACAGATCTTAGCTTGTTCTCCTGAGATCTTTCAAAAACCTGTAGGACCTTGCTGAAATTATTCATGCATGAATGTCAAAGTAGTCCTGAAATTTAATTTCTCAGTTCCATTGATACAGGAGCCATATTTTGTCATCCCCCCCCCCCCCCCCGATCTGTTTACGCCTGATCATTTGAGAAACAACCATGTTCATATGAACAGGTCATCTAATGTAAAGATTTAGGGCAGTGATGGCTAACCTTTTTGTCCTTGCATGTCGAAAGCAAGCCCAGACCCATAATGCAATGCATGTGTGACACTGCCCCCTGTGCGCCCCTGCGCATGCGTGAGCATTGCCCCGTGCTCCCCCACCCTCTGCAGTCTCCCGGGACCAAAAACTGGCCACGGGGGTAGGGCACCACACCCCTATGCTCCTCCTCCCCCCCGTGCATGTGCATGCAACCCTCCCCCCACCCCCCCGTGCATGCACACATGCCTCCTGCATGCACAGCAGAGATCCAAAAATCAGCTGGCCAGCGGTAGGTGCATGCGCATACATGGTGGAGTTGAGCTGGGCAATGGCTTGCATGCCCGCAGAGAGAGTTCCGTGTGCCACTTGTGGCATGCATGCCATAGATTTGCCATCACAGATTTAGGAAATAGAGATTTGGGATAACTACAACCCCACTGCATTGGGTCCCAAAGGTGCTTTTTCAAAAGGCAACTGGAAGCTTCACAGTGGCTATGGGTAGGCCTGTAGTTTAGCCTTAGCAAGTAACCTCCATTTTTTTTTTTGCCTTCCTCAGGGACCTCAGTGCTGCTCTGACCTGGCTGTCTCTTTCCACTATGTGAACACAGAGTGGATGTACACCCTGGAATACCTCACCCACCACCTGCGTGCCCATGGCTACCGCTATCGCTACCAGCCACTTTTGCCTGAGTATGCCTCTCACCTTCAGCCCCATCCCGCCTTTGGGAAAGACCCTAAGAGGAGCAGCAACGCCACTGAGCAGGACAAGTTGTAAGGACTGCGTGCAGGTTCAGAGCAAACTCATCCAGGCTACAGATGGTGAGGCCTGCCAGTGCCTCAATCCTGCTGGCCCGTATGGTTTTTACCGTGTTTTAAACTTCAGTGCCTTCTTCCTGGAAAGGAGTGAAATGAATATGCCCTGAGCTCAGGTAATTTTCTCATCCCCCCAAAAAACCTCTATATGCCCACTAGCCAAAAGGAAGGATGTTATCGAAGAAGCCATTTGTTGTTGTTGTGGTGGTGGTGGTGGTTGTTCCTGAAAGGGCCTGAGAAGAAGGCAGAATTTGGCTAAATATGATGCTGCTTTTATCCATTCCTTCTTTACACTTGTTTCCGATGCAAACCAATCAGTCCCATCGCCCTGTACATGATGTGCCCTGGGTTTAAAAGCTGAGGGTGTGGCCCAGGGGTGAAATTCAGCAGGTTCTGACAGGTTCTGGAGAACCGGTAGTGGAAATTTTGAGTAGTTCAGAGAACCGGCAAACACCACCTCTGGCTGGCCGCACCCCCATCTATTCTCTGCCCCCCAAATCCCAGCTGATCGGGAGGGAATGGGGATTTTGCAGTAACCTTTCCCTGGAGTGGGGTGGGAATGGAGATTTTGCAGTATCCTTCCCTGCCACGCCCACCAAGCCATGCCCACAGAACCGGTAGTAAAAAAAAAATATTGAATTTCGCTACTGGTTTGGCCTTTAAAAATGTGCTTTTTAAGCAGTGGGGCAGAATTTTCTGTCCTGGAGTGACAGAGAAGAAGATGAAGATGCATGGAAGGAACGTCTTAAAAAGTGGGATAGTTTGATGTCTTCCCGCTCCAAACAGGACTCCACTGTGAGCAAAGAGGTATCGTACAATAGCCAGTATTTGACTATTGGGAACAAGTAAGAATCCAGTCTGGACACTGA